ACGTTGTTAACCTTGATTATATCTAATTATTTAACAACTAATCACTGGTGGTTATTTACCGAGCCGCAAAGCGGCGAGAGAATAGAGTAGTATTGCTTTCGGTTTTTATATTTTCTGCTGAAGTTTGTCGCATCATGCTCATCTAGCATTGGTTGAGCATTGTTACTTAATTCTGTGAGTGTCAGAAACGATATAAAATCTTTGACCATCGATGTGTCTTTTCCGATAAACATTTGAAAGACCGGACCAACACTCAGCTTCTTAAAATAACTGAGGAGAATGTGCTGCCTTTTCCATGACATCTGCAGTGGTTAAATATCCTAGTCTTCTCGGATAAGGACGATAAACCTCAGGCTTCGTCTACAGCATCTTCTCGGTACTAGTTAGGAGGGGAAGTTAAAGAGCCCACGCACTTCTCGCAAAGAGTAAGGAACGTAGCTCCCGCCGCTGTGGTCTGGCCTTGATTCCGAGATTAGGGGCATTTACATTCGTTGTCTTTAAAACATAGTGAAGATGCCTTATTCTTTTAATTGCGCATAAGGCAGAGGCAATCTTTTTACAAACGTTCAGCGTATGACAATTCCAGTTTAAGTTTTGATCAATATGTCTCCACGTGGAGGGACCCTGCATCACTGGATGGTCATGTATCATGAAATATGGTATTTTAGAGATAGTTGATAGCCCATGCCTCGGTACAAGTAGCATGAATTCGGTTTTTGTTAAGTTAAGGGTGAGTTTATTAGCAGCTAGCCGTAGGTAGATCTTATTGAAATCGTCAATCATCAATACGCTTTAAGTCTCCATTTGCATGGTTTAAACTAGTGTCGTCAGCATGCAGACTAGGTTTTGAAAAAAGCAAGCACTTTGATGAATAATTGAAATAGTAAATTTCCTAGATTTGATAGTGCCCTGAAGGGCACCATATTTCATAAATTTAGGACTGGACATTGAACAGTTTTGCAAATTTGGGTACGATTGTTTAAATGCGAAGCAAAGCGGTCGTGACAGGGACCGTATAAACCATAGTAATGTAATTTCGCCAACAATATATCACGGTTAACGGTGTCAAAAGTCTAAGAAAACAGCGGCATTGACGTGACCACGATCAATGTTCATTGCCCAACTGTCCGTAGCCTCAAGCAAAGCGGTTACAGTAAATGTAAAGAATGAAAACCAGATTGGTAACGGGAAAGAAGATGATTTTTGGTTAGATATTGATAGAGTTGATCATAATGATCCTAGCCTTCGAGTACTTTCGCTACGGTGGTAAAAAAGTAAAGCCTTTATACGGGCCCAAGTGGCCCATGGGGCCGGCGCTTAACTCCAGTTTCCTTAGCATGAAGCGGCTAGGAGTATTGCTACTCACCCCTGGATGGGATGCTAGTCCATCGCAGGGTTACCCCCAGCATATTTTCTGGTACCCATTTGTACACATGGGTGAAGAGAAGCACTGTGAGAGTAAAGTGTCTTGCCTAAGAACACAACACAACGACCCCGGCCAAGGCTCGAACCCGGACCACTCGATCTTAGCCACGGTGGGGTTTACCGAAATTGGTAGATAATTCGTGGGGTCATTTCGTTCTCCAAAATTCCTCTCTTGAGGAACAGTTCCACTTAATAATGATTGACTAAATATTAATGTAAGCGATTCAGCGACTAAATCTAAGCAGTCTCCGAGCAATTTTGCCGAGATGCTGTCTAATCCAGTCGCTTTTCATTTACAGAGTTTAAAAAAGAGAAACAGAACTTGCGTAAAAGAAATTTCTTAGAAGACGAACTCTTTAGAAGTTGCTCAAAGAAAATTTAAGAAGGGTATGGCGACATTTGTTACATCTTTAATCAGGCTTGGGCCAATTTCAGTTCGACAAAATAAGCCTCCAGCATCTCGGCAGCTTCTACTTGATTGCTTGATGTTGTTCTTTCTATTTTTCTTCATTAAGAAGTGTTTTGTTGGACTTACGTGATGTTAATTTAATGTTAGTTTTCCAGTTCATGCGCTGGTCACTAGTATATTTGTTAAGGGCGTTGTTGTAAAATAGACAGCCTTCGTTTCCTGATTTAATTGATTTTTTACTTTTCGAAATTCATTCCAATTAGACATGTTCTGGGTTTTGATAGCTTTTTTCTTGAGCCGGTCTCTAAAAGTCATTCTCTTTTTAACTCGTGAATTGCGCGCATGCGCATGAGCGAGTTGTAGATATGATGTGGAGAATGGCACTCACTTGCTTTTTCCGTTTTAGTTTCAACAAGCGGCGCCAGCGACTGGCAGGCGTGCGAGGATTCACACTGAAATAAGAGAACAACCTTCGTTTTTCATAAAATTGCAATTTACAATCCTTGAACTTGAAAAAAATCCGAAGATTCATTAAAAATATCACTTACTCCGAAGCACTCGGAATTTACAGATGTTCAAAGCTTTTTCTGTTATGGCGTGAGATTGCGGACAAAGTTGATTATTACATGTCGTATCGTGTGTTTTTTCAGTGTGAAGCAACAAAAGGTGCCGGCGACTGACGAAATTACAGGTTAACACGAAAATCAAATAACGCCTAAAGAAATAATTTTGGTAACCGATTTTCAGTGAATTTTTAAAGAACAATTTTCTTTTAAGTATTACGTACTAACATGCGAAAGTTATACACCACAACCCAACGTTACTTTGTTTCTTTGCTACATTAGCGAACACTGAACTACGGCTCGTAATCTAAATATGACATGACAATCAACCACAAAATTCCCTAAACCAGATAACATTAAACATAATCCAAAAAATCATGTAAGTCATCTGTCAGTTCACGAGTTTGCTCACAGAGCACTTTGATTTTAAACAGTCGTTATCCATGGTGATTTGGTGGGACGTGTACGTTTAGTTTTAAGTGGGGCGTGTTTAGCGCAAACACTTTCTTTCTATTAAGCCACATCTCATTAGGATCATTTAATTCTTTGATAAAACCCCACAGTCGTCTCAGGACATCGTTCCGGAAATTTATGATGTTGGAAAGTTTAAATTGTCTGTAGTTAATGGACTTCATTCTTTTTAACACAGGGGGAATTGACATTTTCCGATACGCGTAAAGTAAACTAAACTAAACTGTGATCGCTTACACTAACATGAGACAAACCGGAGCAAAAAATATTGTCCCGGTGAGAAGTGAAAATAAGATCAGTTAAAGTATTTGTTGAAGTTGTGATTTGGGTCGAGTCGTTAATTAATTGTCATAATTGTCTGCAACATTCAGAAGAGTTTTTGAAGAAGTGTTAACACTTGATAGTAAATTATAATTCATGTCGCCAATTAAGTACTGTTCAATATTTTTTAGAATCTGATCTTTCTGGCAGGGAGTCATCCCCCGAGGGAAGGCCAACATGAGAATTTGGAGGTCTATCACAGTAACAACAAAAAGTTTAGAGTTTGGTTTTAAAATTCCCACCGATAAGACCGCTAAGTGTTCACGTATTACGTGATTTACGTTAGATCGACTATAGAGGGACACTTCCCCGCCAAGTCTCTCAATAACTACCCTGTCAGTGCCCTGAAATTCTTCGTTTCTCGCTTTGACTTTGTGATATTTTAGTTCGTATTATCCTAGGTTCCTACTGCTGGTCATTATAGACTTGAAAATGAACACTGAAGCGGTTTTGAAGTTTTTATTGACAACTTTATTGGGTAACATATCAAATGTTATGTAATTACATTCATACAAAACAAAGAAAATCAAATATAATGTATACATTGTAAAAACTCTCATCAGTTCAAATTGATCTGTTCTAGATTATTTTAGGTTACTTACTTATCAAAAAAATAGAACAATTGAGTTCCAGGATGCAAAACTCTAAGAACAGCAATATCAAGAAAGGACATTTTCCCCGACTGAGAATATAAAATTTCCTCAGGTCTAAAATTAGCTTCTCGCTACAATTGTTCAACTACTTAACTTAAAGTGTTTTTCTAGATTATTTTAGGATACTTACTTCTCAAAAAATAGAATAATTGAGTTCCAGGATATAAAACTCTAAGAACAACAATATCAAGAAAGGACATTTTCCCCGACTGAGAATATAAAATTTCCTCAGGTCTAAAATTAGCTTCTCGCTACAATTGTTCAACTACTTAGCTTAAAGTATTTTTCTAGATTATTTTAAGGTTATTTACTTCTCAAAAAATAGAACAATTGAGTTCCAGGATATAAAACTCTAAGAACAACAATATCAAAAAGGACATTTTCCCGGACTGAGAATATAAAATTTCCTCAGACCTGAAAGTAGCTTCTCGCTCTATTTGTTCAACTACTTAGCTTTAAGTGTTCTTCTAGATTATTTTAGGTTATTTACTTCTCAAAAAATAGAACAATTGACCTCTAGGATATAAAACTCCAAGAACAGCAATATCAAAAAGGTACATCCTCCCTGACTGAGAATACAAATTTTCTTCAGATCTAAAATTAGCTTCTCGCAACAATTATTCAACTGCACGAAATAGTAACATATCAAACTAGCTTTTCCGGTTTTCCCAAAACTTAAATAAGGACCAATCATTATTTGTCACGGAGGGAGGGGGGGGAGGTCATATGGTTTGGGGGGGGGAGGTCATATGGTTTTGGAGGGGAAAAAGAGGGATTCAGTGGTCGCCAACAAAGTATGAAGGGGCAGGATTTTTATAGCTCAAATACAGGATTTTAGTCTGTAAAATATTTTATCACAATGTATATTTTACTTTATCACTTGGAAGGTGGTATTTAAAGCAGTCATTCTCAGTATGAACTTTAACAAAGCCTCCCTATGTCGTTTTATCGCGCGGTTGTTATTTCAAAATGGTTTTGTGCTTGGGCGAGTTGGGTACTACTGATTACCACAGTGTCTACATCTTAGTGAGTGACTCATTTGCATATCGGAGTCCCCTTAAAAACTCGTTTGCACGAGTTAAAAGGGAAAAAATTCCAAGAGAAAATTGTGTGTTCTTTTTTGATACAAAGTTTGGAGCCAAAAAAATATTCGTATTCTTACACCCAGGAATCAATGGAATGGTCACTGGATGACTCATCGAAATCACCGAATGAAGGCTGGGGTTCCTCCATGCTTTCTCGAAATGAGTTGTGGGGAGATGTTCCTCTGAAATTAAGCCCCGGTTCAACATCTTGACTTAGTCTTTGAAAAATATCTGGAAGAAGGTCAAGTGGATTTGTCATTGGGGCTTCCCTCCTCTCTGAGTCTTGGCTGAAAAGCCTCTTCCATGACAACCACGAGGTAAAAAAAACAAGAGCGGTAAAAAGGGCGGTTTTGAATAGTCCATCTGCGGTTTCTCTGCCATTAAACGATTGTCCGGCAAAAATCACAACAATTGTTAAAAATATGAGAGCCAGAAAACTAAGTACCCAATTTCTACGAAGAGACTGATGCATGCTTTCATCACATTGCGTTTGTCTAACGACTACGTAGCCGCCGACTATATAATTGAAAGACGAAATAACAAGACATACTGCTAGTGCAATTGTCAAACCCCAAATTGGGTTAAGCATTATGCCGATGAGCATCCAACAGGAGAAGAAACAGGTATAAATAACACTTAAAGGGGCAAGTAGTTTCTGAAACCACATAAAGCCGCTGTTCATCTGACCTGGATCAGAGCTCTTACAATTATTCCAGATGTCCCTCACTCTTTTTGAGAGGGGAGTAATAAAATACAAAACGGGAATCAAAACAAGTAAGATATCCAGGTAGAAAAGTGGTCCGTCTCTCACAGAGAAATAAATTACAACAGATAAAAGTATCAACCAGATAAATGAACCAGGTACTCCCACCAAAACACTTAAACATAGCATAGGCTTATATTCAGGGCTATTTGTTACCTTCAAAAGCACCACATATCCCACTATCATCCCATAGAGTGGATCGAAAGCTGCACAGGTGGAGCAGAAAGAACCCCATATCATTATTCTGATTTCGAGACTTCTTCCTGTAGCTTGCATATCTGTACCATGGCCCTCGATAACACACTGTGCATTATTTAGTTCTGGATTCCTTATTCCTGGTGAAGAGGCCAGATCTTGAAGCTGAAATGAGCACCAACAAAGACTCAGCAAATAATTCATCTAATATGGCAGCATCAGTAACCATAGCAACCTAGCCGCTTGTCTGCAACCTACAAGGTACAAAGTTTCACTTCTCTATTTCCAAACTCTTGACGATCAGTTTAAACGGTTGCAATAGGTATTCATAACCCTTCTAAGAGTTTCATTAACGATATTAAATTATTTAGTATAACGGAGGCGATTGCTTTTGTCGCAGAGAGCATTGCTTGTGATGAATGCTTACTCTCAGAGGATTACGAATACTCATTTCGGCTTGGGTTAAGCAGTTTTGAGTCGGGGTTTCTTAGAGATAAAAAAAAAAAGAAAAAAATCATTGTTCATACCGCAGCGAGGACATTTTCAATCATATCGTTTATCGTCTTCTTTCTTTCATCCTCTGTTTTCGACACATTGCAACAGAAATGTGGAATTGTTATGTTCAATTCTTTTGTCCGATGTCTGACAAGGATTGATCCGAGTGACACAATTTCCAGGAAGACATCAGGAATAGCAACATACAGACAAGATACGCTCCAAGTGTACCTTGCAATGGGTGAACCTGTTTTGTTGGGACCATGTAAATTCACAAACACACGAACAGAAGAGGGTTTCTTGGCTGGAAATAAGGCAGACTCAATGTTAAAACTGTTATCTGACTTTGTTAAACTGTGATAAAGCTGCTCATATGTGTGAATGCATGAGAGTGAACTGGTGGAGTTGTCGCAAGTGTCACTAAATTCTGCTTGAACGCTTTCTTGATCGAAGATCAACACCACTTGAATAAGAGTAGCCGCAACAGCCTTGATCAACGGATTGGACATGTAAGAATATCAACCGGCCCCGTTTGAAAAAGTCGATCGGTATTTTCTAAAACAAAATAAAAGTATTTCATATTTTCAGTAAAATAGTGCTAATAGGCAACCTTCTCCTACCAGTGGCAGGAGACTCTTGACTAAAGACTCTTTTACCGCTGCAGTCTTTGGGTTTTCTATAGAGTTACTAGGTTTTCCAGTACACAATTCCACTTACATTCAAGCTTATTTCATTCTGTGTAACTCTTTTTAATCTCTTAAGATCACACACTTTTGATTCTCACTGGATACTTCTCCTTCAACTGCAGAATTCTAACTCTACTCTACTGCACTCTGTCTACATTCTTCTAGTCTTCTCTTCTCTCTATTTTCTCTATTCTCTTTTCTCTCTTCTCCCCGCTCTTTTCTCCCCACTCTCTTCTAAGTAAAATCTAAAGAACATGCCTACATATTCGCTTCTGACAGATATGGGTGGGTATACCAGCTGGCTGACCTTGGGAGATCAAACAGCTGTTGTTGGAGCGCTAAACCAAGCACTTGCGATCTGAACAACAAAGTACTTAATCATAATGCCTCAGATAAATTGATTCAACCTCCGACTGCTTTAGTCAAAACAAAAACTTTCGTGTGGGTCCAAAGCAAGGTCAGTTGACAAACTAAGCATGTCCATTTGAGGAAGTTAGAAAAGGCTGTAACAATTCGGTAACTCATCACGACAGGTCAAACCTAAATAACTTCGGAATTCGAATTCATACTTTAAATACTCTAAAATGTTAACGAAAAATTGAACCATACTGAACTGACTATAATTAACACTGTTTGTGGTTTCTCGGAGCGTCGGTGCCATACAATTGAAGCTTTCTCTTTACCAGGTTTATCACTAATTTAACTTTCACTCCCACTTTTCATTTTCTGCTAGAAGACTGAATTGTGGAGCTGTTCGACTTTTTTTGTTTACAGAACACAATAAAACTCAAACCAGAATGAGTTCTACTCTAAAATATATTAAAGTTCACACGGCAACCAGGTGGACAATCAGACATAGTTTGATGCTACTCTGGTTTGCAGATTTAATGAATGTAGCCGAAGAAGTTACAATTCATAGACCCAACGTTTCGACACTCCTGTCTAGTGCCTTCATCAGGGGTGATCTAAACGCTGCAACAGTCGCTGGTTCCCTTTCTTGATTTAAATGTGTCTAGAGGGGTTCAGGGTAATTTAGAGACAAGTGTCTACCGTAAACCTACCCACACCGACAAATACCTCGCCTTCGATTCTCACCACCCTATTTGCCATAAAAAGTCTGTAGCCAAAACTTTACTTAGGAGGGCTGACTGTCTACCATCTTCACTCGATTCGAAGGCTGAGGAGAGGAAATATGTTTGCAATGTCCTAAAGGCAAATGGCTATACAAAAACTTTTCTCCGTAACTACCGAAAAACCAGTTACAAATAGTAACGCTCTTGATGAAAGGGAACCAGAGACTGGTTCTGCTGTTATTCCTTACATACAGGGTGTTACGGAACCCATCAAGAGAATTTTGAATAGCCACAACGTTAAAGTTACTCAAAAACCTTTTCAGACTTTGGGGCATATTTTCGCCAAACCTACGGATCTGAAAGAACAACGAACCAACGCCATTTATTCTATTCCTTGCAATGACTGTGACAATGAATACATCGGACAGACCAAACGTCAGTTTGGTACACGGTTAAAAGAGCACCAAAAAGCGGTTTTCCTTTGCAAAAAGGAAAATTCAGCTTTATCGGAGCATACATGCCTAACTAACCGTACAATTGGGTGGGATAATTTTAAAATTATCACCACTAATCGGCGTTACCACCAGCGCCTTTGTTTGGAGGCTTGTCATATTAACTCCGCCCACGCTCCTTTAAAGCGTGACGATGGCGGTTTGCTTCCTATTGACGCCTATTTACACCTCGTCAGAAAAAAGGCAGCTAATTAGAGATCATATAAAAGGACCTCTTGTTGCAGCGTTTAGATCACCCCTGATGAAGGTACTAGACAGGAGTGTCGAAACGTTGGGTCTATGAATTGTAACTTCTTCGGCTACATTCATTAAATCTGCAAACCAGAGTAGCATCAAACTATGTCTGAGTTCTACTGTGGTCGCTTCGTACGGGAATATTTACGACCGCTCTCAGGAATGAAAAATACCGTAATCTGAAATCGCGGAATTAGCCTCCAAAATGTATTCATGATGTGCCCTCGCTACGCTCAGTATGACGACTTCATGCTGTTTGTGTTTTCTCGAAGCGAATTGCCATGCAATTGAAGCTTTCTCCGTACCAAATTTATTATTAATTTAACTTCCACTTCCGCTTTTCATTTTCTACTTAAAGTCTGAATTGTGGAGCCGTTTGACTTTGTTCGTTTACAGAATTCAATAACACTCAAACTAAATGAGTTCTACTCTGATTGATCGAGTTCGATCAACAACAGTTATATTATTTTCGAAATACTAGACCATGATCAAACCGCAGCAAACTCACTGTAGTCTTAGTTTTTGCGGTAAACGGACCTTAGAAACAAAGTTTACCTCCGCCTAGATCTTGTCAATGTGGTCGCTTCGTACGGGAATATTTACGACCGCTCTTAGGAATGAAAAATTCCGTCAATTTCTCAATAAAAAAACCTCACCTTACTTCCACAGTGCATCGCTTGCTATCTGACCGCTTAGTTTGTTGAAAAGAACCTATTTGGCAAGTTATCCATTTCTATGTTTTCTACGTACATAAGAAAAAGCCCTTTTAAGGGCTTTTTCTTATGTACGTTTTCTTATGTATTTTCTTAGAAACTATGTTACCTTCGCCAAGATCTTGTCAACGCATCGGTCCTGATACTTCAAATTTAGCACAGTCCTTTCTTATTGGGTGATCATTCAATTACCAGAAACTAAAGGGAGTCTGAAATCGCGGAATTAGCCACCAAAGTGAATCCACGATGTGCCTACGCCGCGCTTAGTTTGACGACTTCACGATGTTTGTGGTTTGCCGTGCAATTGATGCTTTCTCTCTACCAAGTTTATTAGTAATTTAATTTTCACTCTATTGTGTTTGATCTAGTTCGATAAATAGCCACAGGCGGCCCAAGCTCCAGGTGTGAGATGATCATCTCGCAAAATAAGAGTCCTTAAAAGGGCTTTTTCTAAAGTACGTTTTCTTATGTATTTTTCTTAGAGACCAAGTTTACCTTCGTCAAGATCTTGTAAATGTGTCGCTCCCGATCTTCAAATTTAGCATAGTCCTTTCTTATTGGGTGATCATTCAATTGCTAGAAACTAAAGGGAGTCTGAAATCGCGGAACTAGCCTCCAAAATGAATTCATGATGTGCCTACGCTACGCTCAAAATGACGTCTTCATGCTGTTTGTGTTTTCTCGAAGCGTCGTTGCCATGCAATTGAAGCTTTCTCTGCACCACATTTATTATTAATTTAACTTTCACTTCCGCTTTTCATTTTCTACTTAAAGTCTGAATTGTGGAGCCGTTTGACTTTGCTCGTTTACAGAATTCAATAACACTCAAACTAAAATGAGTTCTACTGTGTTCGATCGAGTTCAATCAATAACAATCATATTATTCTCGAAATTCGGTAGGTTGGAAAAAATAGAATGCAGGAATTCGAAACCGGAATATTTGGAACACCCGGAATTCCCGGAATGACCGAAAAATGATAAATTAACTAAATAAAAATAGATTAACAAGTAAATAGGAGTATAATGATAATAAATAATTTATAACTAACTGGTAAATTCATAGCTTAATTAAGTAATTAAATACAAAATTTTTCTCTCAGGATCGCGTGACGTTAAATAAATAACCACTTATCGTCACTGTTCATGGTGATGCACGTAATAGAAATGAAAGAAGTCTGCGTTAGGCCAGTAGCCCATACAGCTTACGCGACGAAAATATTTCTACCCTCCCCTACCCCTGGATGGGATTCTAGTCGATCACAGGGTTACTCCCCGTTTTAGGGGGCCTTGCGCCTAAGAAACGACCGATGATTTCTAACTAAAAATTAATATCGGCCGATTTTTATCTTCCAAGTAGAGGTTACCTAATACTATTTAAAAATAAATTTCTTTTGCTTCAGTTTCGCTTTAAACCAAAAATATCGAGCCGCGAACTTGTTACGTCTGATTGTAGCAAAATCTTTCCCAAAATATGCCCTTTCAAAAACCGGTTCAAAAATCACTATCGCAACACAATATAATAAGAAAACTACGCAGTTATGAAGAAAAAGGCCTTTTAATACAATGTCATTCGATAAACAATCAAAAACTGCAGCAGCGAATGAAAAATAAATTTTCAAATATTGCATATCTAATTAGATGGAGCGTTGGAGATGATTTTAAAACATTTTTTTCTAAAATATCCAACGCTATTGGAAGCAATCACAGCGATGAATCGGAAATTAGAAGGATATACATTACGTTTCTGGAAAAACATTTTTCGGCCAAAGTATATTGACCTTGTACGAAGCGTTCAAAGTTGCAGTGTTTACCGTTATGTTGCTACTTCGGCGAAACACTTCTCTGTTGCCAATACGTCCATGGATAGCGTGGTAAATGTCACTTTAAACCTTGCTAGGCGCTCAAATACCATCCGAAATAGAATGATATGGTATTAAAAGAGAAAGGAAGATGGAAAATGGGTAGGAAAAGAAAATAATTTATATTTACCATCTGCTGAGGTGAGTTGAATCTTGGAAATGTTATCGCGTGACAGCCCTCATTTCTCCAAACTACGGCGGAATCCAAGCAACTGCGTAGAATATAAGTAAAAAAAATAAAACAACTCTTCCGCCGCCAGAAATCCTGAAGTGAAGCAGTTTTATATTATTGCCATGAATGATGATGAATTCAGGTGAAAATTAGCCTCAGATAGTGTCCATTTAGTACTTTGGCGGGCTACATGTATTTCGTTACATTCCAACGGACGTAACGGGTCAGCATTTACAGGGGTCAGCGGAGGTAAAAATAGAAACAACCAGGTAATCATGGCGGATGCCTGTACTTTGACAAGCGACTAACTACAGGAATGGCTCCGACCTGTGATTGGATGATAAAAACAATGAAAGTTAATAAGTTATATCTTAACTTCTTGCTCGTGAGTATCGTTAACCGCATGTCTTAAAGCGGAACAATTAAGAGGCGATCTCTGTAAGAGCGGTCCAGGGCATTTCGCATTGGAAAAAAGTTTTCCCTCAAACTTTGCCCAATAAGCTATTTTTGGTAACAAGTAAATAAAACCACATTAGTTTCTGGAAATACCTCAAAAAAAATTTTTTAGAGCTCTCAAAAGTCAAAGCTGCAAAAGGCCCTTTTTTGACCTCTTGCGACATCGAAAATTTCAAAAGTTGAATAGCCCGGTCCTCGTATCACACCGCATGCAGCAAAAAATATTTTGTATTCTTAAAGTGTGTGATATATAAGGTGTATAAAATGCATTTTAATTTTGATATTCGTTTATTCAGAGGCTCGTCGTAATTTATTTAAAAACACTCGTTCGACAGCTTTCTGAAATTGGTTAAAAGTACTCTTTCTTTCTCGGTTGATATTGCTCTAGTCCAGACCAGACCATTAAAAACTCCGC